TGTGTGTGTGTGTGTGTGTGTGCATGGGGGGGGGATTTCCGTGGCTTGTTAGCCAGCCAGTCTAATCTACTTGGTAAGTTCCAGGCTTGTGAGAGACCCTGACACAAAACAAGCAAAACTCACATGATAGCATTTAAGGAATGGTGCTCAAGGTTGTCCTCTGGTCTCCACACACATGTGCATGAACATACATGCACACACAAAAACATGACCATGCACATTTAAAGGCACACATGCATAAACAAACATAAACATTGGTTTCTGTAGGTGATAGCTGTGCCATCAATATCTATAAGGAGGGTTTCTCCAGAGAAAGGACAAAGATTAGAATATTATTGTACAGACTAACATTTGTTGAATGTTTACAATGTTTCAGACGTGTTCATGTCACCTAAATTCCCTGTCTATTCTCACACAGCCTTCAGAGCGACATGATATTATTATCACTTTGCAGGAGAAGCAGAGGTTGGAAAACACATGACAGTCATAAGCTCAGTTTGTGGGGACTCAATCCCAAGGGTACCGTGGGAAAGACAGCCCATCCTGTACCAGGCTCTAGTTCATCACCCCCCCCCCTTTGAGTCCCAGGCTGGATCACCAGTACCTGAGGGGCTCACAGCAAGCAGAACACTGGCCTAGATTCATGGGTGAGGGGACAGGGAGAGAATGAGATGGAACGACGGGAGGGTCAGTGGAGACTTCCAGACACGGTGGCTACTGTCCACCTGGCAGTCTATGCAAGACAAGAAGTACTTCACGGACTGTGTTTTCTTCTCAGCCCCTGAACTGAACTTTAAAAAGGATTTAAAAATATACGTCACAGAGGTGTTTAGAACGTAAGTGATCAGTAGTAATCTGTGGTGAGCATAGCAAAGGAGAACCAGGGGCTCCATTTGCAAGTCTGAGCTCACAGAAAGCATTTGCCTTGTGTTTCTCCTACTGCCTTCTATTCCATTCCGAAAGGACTCCCTTGTTTTCCTTATCCCTCTGCACATGGCACAAGTCCAGAGCTGGGACTGAGGTCGGGGTTTTATTACCTGAGTGTCTCCACAGGGCACCCAGGTGTTTCCCAGGGGAGCGTTTTTATTTCTTTTGCTTTCTTTTTAATGTATATTTTATTACTTACAACCTGACCTCTGTTTCCCCTCCTTCTCTCCTCTCAGTCCCCCACATCTCCCCTCTGCGGCCCCCTCCGTCCGTCCACTCCTCCCTCATTTCTATCCAGAGACCAGGCCTTCCCAGGCCTTGCACTTTGTTTTCTGGCTCTTGGGTGACCCCTACTGGCCGCAGGGAGTATCATTCCCCTTCCCTTCTCCCCGTCACTGCCTCTGGCTCGTGGTCTCTTCTCTTCTAAGCCCTCCTGTCTCCCTCTTTCCCTCTCTTTCTCTCCATTTCTCTCATCTCCTCTCTCTCCTTTATTGGATTGTCACAAGGGATATTACAAAGGACACAGATGCAGGGACCCACGGAGAGGAGCAGGAAAGGCACACGGTTCTCTTACACCTACTCAGGCGCCCATCTTCTCCTTTATTCTTTTCTTTTTTTAATTTTTTGAGGCAGGATTTCTCTGTGTAGCCCTGCCTGCCTTGGAACTAACTCTGTAGACCAGAAACTCACAAAGATCTGCCTGCCTCTGCCTCCCAAGTGCAGGGATTAAAAGCGTGTGCCACTACGGCCCACCAATCTCCTTTTCTATAGAGACTTAGTTGCATAGACAGAATTGCTAACAGATTGTGTGGGAAAACTCAACAAACCTTGTCTATCTAGAATCCTCTTGTCCCCAATATATGGTTGCAGAATATTTGTTTACATTGTGTGAAGATGTGTCACTGTGGTGGGTTTAATACAGAGATGAATGGTCAGTAGTTATGCAGGAGAGAAGAGGCAGAATTTCTGGGGAGAGAGATAGAGAACTCTTGGCAGAAGGGAAGCAAGGAGACACCAGAGAGACTTGGGAGAAGTTGGACACACAGAATGATGGAGAGGTAAAAAAAAAAAAAAAAAAAAAAGCCATGTGGCAGAGCATAGATTAACAAATATGGGTTAATTAACTTATAAGAGCTAGTTGGAAATACCCTAAGCCACAGGCCAAACTTTCATAATTAATAAGAAGTCTCTGTGCTGTTATTTGCTGGCTGATGGTCCCGACGAGAAAGTATAACTACAATGTGTCGCACATGCCTATGGATTATGGAGCAGGACTTCTCAGGAACGAGAAGTCTTACCAGAGGATTTCTCTACGGCCAGCTCCAGGATGAAAGGTGGAAGAAGAGTAGAGTTTCTGGGACCTATCTTGGGGAAGAGAAATTCTAATTAAACTGTCCTAGGCAGAAATGAGCCAGGAACCATGAAAACTCTGTCTCCATGTCTCTCTGCGTCTGTCTGTCTGTGTGTCTGTCTGTGTGTCTGTCTGTGTGTCTGTCTCTCTCTCTCTCTCTCTCTCTCTCTCTCTCTCTCTCTCTCTCTCTCTCTCTCATATCTTCAAGTGTGTTTCTATGAATGGAAAAGGTTCTTTTTTGCCAACCTTGGAAACAATGGTTCTCTCCCAGAGGCCACAATTTAGTATAAAATTAAAAGACTATTTCTGTAGATGTAGGTAGAAAGTACACAGACATGTTATGTTTTTCTCTCAGCACCAGCTGCAGTGACACACAGCCATGTAGAGATTGCTCAAGGTTGTGTTCTGTCTTCTGCAGCTGTCACTTAGCACAGTGATGGGCAGACGTACATTATTGATAATCCTTCCTGTTTCCAGTGGGAACCACGGCTTGTCAGGGTTTGTAGGGCAATCTGTTAGGAAAAAAGCACACATCTTGAGTTTGCTTTACAAACTAAATGAGATACATCCATGGAGAAACGGACGACGTCTCTTACATGGTGGGGACATCACAGGCATGCACCATCTGAGCAGCCCTGCCCTTCTGCCCTCAGTTTAATGTGAAAACTTTCTGCGTCTTTCATACCTTCAGAACAATGCTTCCGTCAGCATGTCCAGCTGGTCTTGGAACGTAGCCTGCCCACCTTGCATTGGCGTAAATACCCTCCTGAAGATTACTGCTATGTGTTAAATTTCATTAGTGGAACACTCCACAACTACTTTACGTAATCATCTAAGACTCCTATTCCCATTTTGTGACCCTCCCCAACCTCATGTGAGACTTTGTGGTCATTAAGTTGTTAACGGAGACTCTAACAACTCTGTGAAAGGGTTTTGCAGGTGCAAATTTCTCTCACACACTCCCGCTCGGGTATCTAGTCACTCTGACCCTCCTCCAGCAGAAATCTTACCATTTCTTCAGAAGCACAGTATGAAATTTGGCCAGAAATCTGGGTTCCCACACACTGACACTCACAGTGCTTCTTGGCTGTAACCGCCCCCAGCATTTGGTGTTCACAGTGACACCCAGGATGGGTCTACAGTCACATCTCTTGCTTTTACTGTTAAAATACTTCTTGACTAAAAAACTGTTTTTTTACTAACAGCTGTCCAAGCTGGGGAACGGGAGGTGGTGGTCTCCCAGGTGCTGATACACAATGCTGGGTTTCATTATGATAGTCTCCTCCTCAGCTTCCTCACTGCCCTCCGCAGGTTCTCTTTGACAGAGGACTGGTTGGCTGCTGGCTTCCAGAATTCCAGAATCCTATCATTGTTCATGCCAGTGAGGTCCCACTGGCATAAGCTGTCAGAGCTTGTGGGCCCCGGCCCCCCACTGTGAGTGGCTGCCGCCTTGCTTGCCGACCTTGACCAGATGTCCTCCCTATTCAGATTCCCTGCCAGTTTCCTTCTCACCTAATGATCACCGGAGAGATCACCGGAGGTTCTTTGTTCCTGTATCCTGCATTTGGTGTAAACAACTTAGATGCAAGTATGTAGAACATTCCCTAGTGAACTTCTGCCCTCCGGGGATCCTCCATTGTGCTGTAAGCCTGTATTTAAGGTTTTTCCCCTTTTTCAATAAACGGCATTCGGCATTTCAGTCATGGCGAATGACTCGCTGTCTCTTGTCTCTATTTTTAATCCGAAGCCCCTCACTCGGACATGGTGAACGGGTATCGGTAACGCGGGTGTTACTGCTACAAGAGCTCAGACTAGCCAGGCCCAAAGGACTGCCTTTCCCTGCGCCCCTCCACTCCTCAGCCATAGTGTAACCTCCATTCTCCTCTCTCTTCTATTGTCAGGGGACTTCTCTCACAGATTCATCTGGAATAGAACTTTTGTACTTCCCATTTATTTTCATTTCCCACTTAGGGTGCCCATATGACACCCAGGAGGTGAGTTGCTTAGCATTGACTAGAGAGGAGATATGGCAGACAGTCCGGCTGCTGTTGAAGCGTTCACTAGAGAGGTGGTGCTGCAGACAGTCTGGCTGCCGTTGCTTCTCTTGCTTTGGTGCTCTATTCCATTTGAATATCTGTTTCCTATCAAGTTATGGCTAAATACTGGACAAAACCGATAGGGAAGGAAGTGTGTATGTTGACTGACAGGTCAGGAATACACTCATTACCGCAGCAGGAGCAGGAGGTGGCTGGTCACACTGCCTCCACAGCCAGGAAGAGAGAGCTGTGGATGAATGCTTGTGCTCGCTTTCCCCGCTGGCTGGTTAGTATTGTCCATATCAAGGCGGGTTTTCCAACCTCATTTAAGCCAGTCTGCTACTGCCTCACAGCTTGGTTTCCAAGGTGATTCTAAACCACATCTGCTTGACAGTCAAGACTAACCACCACAGCGGGTAATTTTGTTTCTTCATTATGTTAGTCTGTCTTCAGTGGGATGAGCCTCTGTCCACTGCAGAGACCCACAGAGGTTTCCTAGTGAGAACTCACTCAGGGTCCGAGAATCTGAGCTTGCTTTACCCAGCAGGGCTGTGTAAGGGGATGATTTGACCACGGGTGTGGTTACCAGGTGTGTGGAAGAGTCTGCACCAGGCTGTGCAGTGTGCTTTGACCTAGTAAGGGGGAGGTCTTTCTCCCTGCCCCTTGGCATTGTTGTAAAAAGCCCCTTTGAAGAGGCAGAAAGGACCACTGGGTTTTGATCCAGGTCCTCCCGAAGCTATCCTGTGTTTTTGTCTTTCTCCTCTTCACTATCTTTCTATCTAAAAGTTTCTTATCCCTCTCTCCTCCTCATAGGAACCATTTTAAAAGGTGGGAACTGGCCTCCCACAGTCCATCCCTGCTGATATCTGTCTCGTTTAATCCTGGAGGGCACTTTACAGTAGTAGTTCTCAATCTGTGGGTCACAAACCCTTTGGCAAACCTCTGTCTCTAAAAATATTACATTACATTCATAATAGTAACAAAATTACAGTTATGAAGTAGCAACAAAAACAATTATATGGTTGGGGTCCCCACAACATGAGAAATTGTATCAAAGAGTGGCAGCCTTAGGAAGCTTGAGAACCACCGCTCTACTGGATCATGGCCTTCAAGTTCTAGCTTGATACTTTGCATCTTTACGTGTTTTAGGGAGAATTTATACTTTCCCTTCCATTTTCTCCGAATGGCACTTATGAGATAACTCATAACTGCTGACAATGTGACGAGATGAAAATCTGAGGTTTTGCTCTTTGTTCTCATGTGGTATGCTCGTTATTCTCCTCTTGGTGAGTGAGGAATTACTTAAATTATGATGGCTGAGAATGCAGGTAAAAAGTGAGTGGAAGTTTTGAATGAAACATCTGTAATTAGGGATTAGGTCGACCCACTAAAATCACTTCACCTTAACTTTCTTCTATTCAATTTGCATACCAATAACATGTCCTTTCTCGCATAATCGATGAAAGAGTTCATGGCATACGTACCATTAATATACAAGTAACATGATCTTCACATAGGCTGCGAGTGTTACAGCTCTGGAGGGATAGGTATCCCAACTTGTCAGGAAGTCAGTCTGAAGCTGGGGGCGGTTGGGGGGGGGGTCCTCCCAGCAATATGTAACAATCCTGCTTCTCTCCTAGAGAGCCTTTCCGGCTGAGCTTTGTTCTGTCCTCCCCTAGGGGGAGCTCGTGGCAGAGCGCTGCTTCTTTTCTCTCTGGCCCAAGATGTTGCTTCTTCCACTTCGCTCTGCTAAAGGGGAAACCCCTGCAGAAATGTAGCAATCGCCTCTGGATCTGGTGAAAAGCTGTTCGCTTTTCTGATCAGCCTTTCTCAGCTCCCTAAGGGAATGTCTCAGCAAGGTTCTTCTGTTCTGTGCTGGTGAAAGAAGATCTCCACCCAAAACTCTTTTGAGAAAGATTTATTTGGGAAGGAGGAGTCCAAGAGAGTGGCTGCCTCTACCAGGGTGAGAAAGCACAGCCCACAATGAACAGGCAGATGACTTCTTAGGGACAGAGTTTCTCCAGGGAGAAGATTTTCTGTTTGAGGATTGGTTAGTTTTACTGCTCAGGGATTGGTTGGTTTTTTTGGTCAGAGGAAGAGTTGGCTCTGGTTTCAGGGCCAAACTGTGTTTCTTTCACTGGCCCCTTTTACCTTTTGGCTCTAGTTTTAGGGTCAGGGCATATTTCTTTCACTGACTTTGATTCTAGAGTCAAAGCGTGTTTCTTTGGCTCTGGTTTCAGGATCAGGGTGTGTTCCTTAGGTTCTGGGTTCAGGGCCAAAGTGTTTCTTTCACTGGCTTAGGTTTCGGGACCAGGACATATTTCTTCCACTGACCCTGGGATCAGGGTCAGAGTGCTTGAATTTGTGCTCAGGGATTGGTTGGTTTCTTGCTCAGGGATTGGTTAGTTTTCCTGCTCAGAGATTGGTTGGTTTCATTGGTCAGTTGGTCAGGGGCAGAGTTGGCTCTGGTTTCGGGTCTAAACTATTTCTTTCACTGGTCCTTTTTAACCTTTTGGCTCTAATTTCAGGGCCAGGGTACATTTCTTTCATTGGCTCTGACTCTAGGGACATAGTGTGTTTCTTTGGCACTGGTTTCAGGGTCAGGGTATGTTTCTTTGGTTCTGGGTTTAGGGCTAAAGTGTTTCTTTCACTGGACCTGGTCTCGGGGCCAGTGTGGATTTCTTTGGCTGGCCTCTTTCCTCTACATAGGTCAATGTGCCTCCTTGTATAGTTACTTTTCTATTGTTCTGAAGAGACACCATGACCGAGACAATGTATGGAAGAATTTATCGGTGGCTTACAGTCCTAGAGGGTTAGTCTATGACCATTATGGGGAGTGGAGCATGGAAGCAGCAGCAGGCACGGTGCTGGAACAGTAGTTGAGAGCTCACATCTTGAGACAACAGCTATGAGGGAGGGAGGGAGGGAGGGAGGGAGAGAGAGAGAGAGAGAGAGAGAGAGAGAGAGAGAGAGAGAGAGCACTCGTTAAAGCACTAACTGGGAATGGTATGGTCTTTTGAAACCTCCAAGCCTGTCCACAGTGATATGCCTCTTCCAGCAAGGTCACACATCCTAATCCTTCCCAAACAGTTCCATCAACTGGTGACCAAATATTCAAACATATGAGCCTATGGGGATCATTCTGGTTCAAATCACTAATTCTTCAAGTGCATTTCTCGCTAAGAAGTCCAAACCAGAGGCTTGTATTATCACACAGGTGAGACTTGTCAGGACCCACCTTTCCCAGCCTCTAGCTGTATGAAGATGGGTTTGATGTAGCCTGAGAATTCCAGAAAGTCTCTGCAAGATCTTAGCCACAATGCTTAGACAATGACTTGTTTTTCTCTGTGTTTCTAATGTACACTTTCATCTTGAGAACCTTCCTCTGCGACCCAGGCTCATGTTACAATTCACATATGTTCTGTTTTTGCTGAAGTTGGCTCTGATTTTTAACAAAGAAAATTTTACATGATACAAAGTCTGTTATCTTTTCATATGCTTCCTTCAATAGGTTATTCACACCTCCACCTCTAAGCTATTTTGATAGCAACTGACCTGATCTGTTGTTTTCACCTTCTCAGTCACCTGTCCTTAAAATTTACATTGAATTAAAGAAATCAAAATGTTCAATGAGGGACAGCTTTTAGAAACACAAGTGTGCTTTGTCTTTGCACAATCTTACAGAGCAGTTGGAGCAGATTTATCAGTCCCCATTGAGATAAAGAACAGCCCCTCACAGTAATTAAATGACTTTCTAGAGATAGCACAGCACACAAGTGGAAGAAAGGCTGGACACCCTTTCCTTTGAGTCACAAACCAAATTAGCCTATCCCAGAATACAACAGTGAACATGGAACATCTTTTCTTTTGAGTTTCATAGAGACTGTAGATAGGTCTTCATTAAACACTGATTTGCAGATTGTTCAAGCAAGTTAAGGACCATCTTCTTTATGGTTACTGGTACAGACTAAGAAATGAGCTTTGTGGTATGTGACAGTATTGAGGATTGACTATTTATGTTTTTGTTCCATTCCACTTGAAAGACCAAATCTCATTGGAGCACATCTATTCAATATGAAGTTGGAGTTTTGGTGCAGAATTTACTCAGAGTAGACGGGTGACACTGCGTGTTTCAGGTCAATCCACTTAGTGTACCTCGCAACTGAGACATGTGGTCTTACAACTCTACGTGATTAATGAGGGTCCATGAAACAAATGTCTCCAGAATAAGGGCCAGTGACTATGCTGGTGACCACACACACAGCAGTCTCAGAATGCATGTGCAGCTCATCATTAGAGAAATGGTTTAGGTGATTCAAGGACAGAGAGAGAGAGAGAGAGAGAGAGAGAGAGAGAGAGAGAGAGAGAGAGAGAGAGAAGGGGGAGGTGTTCTTTGGGCATTTAATTGAAGAAAAAGGTAAAAAAGAGGTCAAATTATATGGTGTAATAAGTTTGTTTAATATGTTTTCTGGGTGACATTATTTACTTGAAATTATGCTGTCTTGGTTAGCATTAACTCTCAACACAATACAGCTTATGTATTATATGGTTTATAATAATGTTGATTCAGCTAAAAAAATATTTCCATTCAAATTCATGCAACCATCAAGAAACTGTTTTCTCAGGAAATTTACTTTAAGGGTTAGAATCCACTTCAAATGACCTCACTCAGTTGCTCAAATAATTTCTTTCTGTAAACTTTTCTAAGAAATAAAACAACTTAACATTCTGAATTTCATTTTTGCCATCTCACACATGAGAGAATTTTTAGCTGATTAGTTTTTAAAAGATATTTTCTGGTGGAAACGGTGTCTGTCCAATCTAAGATGAATCAGCCTTCATTGAACGGCCTTCAGTGTGGCAATGTCATTTACTCTACTCCATCTGGCCCTGAGAAGGGAGTTTTAGCAAGCAAGAGAGAGCCAGAAAGCAGCGTTTCTCCATGGTTCCTGCCTTGAGTTCCTGTCCTGACGTCCCTCAGTGATGGACTGTAACCCAGGAATATGAGACACAGAAACCCTCCCTCCCCTAAGCTGCCTTTCGTCACGTCTTTGCAGCAACAGGATGAAGCTGGAGCACACAGTTCACCCTTCACCTCTGGCCTCCTACGTGACTGTTAGTGACAGATTCCACTTCCCCAATCCCAGCATACGTCATTCTGATGACCATGATAACTCTCAGAATGAATATCTGAGCCTTAACTTCACCGCTCACAAACTCTGCAAAGTGGACGCAATTGCTAGATACCTTCGTAGCCACAGGCTGAAGACTATCAATAGAAACTGGCCCTTTGAAGTAACATCAGCTCCATGAGTGATAGAGACAACCGTGAACTCCAATTTTCTATTTCACACGTAGATTTAACTCTCCCAACCTGCGATAAGTTTGGTTTTCTTGTCTAGAAAATACAATGACAACTTTCCAGATGTCCGTTTGAGGGCCAGATGGAGTAGAGTAAATGATATCGCCACACTGAAGGCCGTTCAATGAAGGCTGATTCATCTTAGATTGGACAGACAACGTTTCCACCAGAAAATATCTTTTAAAAACCAATCAGCTAAAAATTCTCTCATGTGTGAGATGGCAAAAATGAAATTCAGAATGTTAAGTTGTTTCATTTCTTAGAAAAGTTTACAGAAAGAAATTATTTGAGCAACTGAGTGAGGTCATTTGAAGTGGATGCTAACCCTTAAAGTAAATTTCCTGAGGAAACAGTTTCTTGATGGTTGCATGAATTTGAATGGAAATATTTTTTTTAGCTGAATCAACATTATAAACCACATAATACATCATCTCCTGTGTAAATTTGGAGCCTTACTTAGAGAGAGAGCCACATGACCAGAAATTCCCACACCATCATCATTGCCATGAGCTATTGAGTCTAAGAATGCCATGGTTCCAAGACAAATACTTCCCGCCCCCATCCCAAACATCTACAGCTGAGCTTTTGTGTCTGTGTGTGGGGGGGGGTAGCTTGTGACAGTTCTGTACCATCCCATCAATCTTACTGTGGAAGCCATGTCAATCCAGTTATCTATAGATGAGCTTCTGGGTACTCAGTGCTGTGTCTGTGGCTGAGGGAGGATGCTCCACACATACCAGCTTCCTACTGACTGCTCAGGGGTCACCTTCCACAAATCCTTAGATAACTACAGTATAAATGATCTAGAATGCACTCAAATCCTATTTCCCCTCATTTGGAAGATTAGGTCTATGTCCTTTCCTCTTAAATTTGGGCGGAATCTGTAAGGACTTTGACCACAAGAATAAGTAAAAGCAAGGCAGTATGTAAAAGGCTGGCAGCCTCATATAGATTGCTTCAGAGTGCTTCCCATGTCCTTGGAGAAGGCAGACTTAGCTGAAGTCACACACCATGAGCAAGTTAGGCTGTAAGGAGCGAGGCAGCTGCAGCCTTTCCAGCTAGGTCCGAGACATGGGAGTGAGGGAGCCAGAGATGAGTCCATTCCCACTAGCCATCTGACTGTGACCACATGAGCAAGAATCTCACAGCTGGAAACCATCAACCACATAAACATGAGTGACTGGAGTTTTCAGCTGTGTAGTTTGGAGGGGCATTTTATTATTATTATTTTTGTTATGTAGTAAGAGCTGTAAAAATTTCCCAACTTAAACATTTAGAAACTAGGTTATTCTTTCCACTGCCCATTAGTTCAGTCCTATTTACCTGTTGAGCTGTGGAGGGGATCCAGTGTGCCCATAGTAGGGGTGCTTTGGAGCATTTGCTAACCGGTAAATTAAGTCTTTATTTTTTCTTTTTTAATCTTTGTGTGTATGTGAGTGTAGGATGTGGGGAGGGGGGCATGGCACACATATGGAGGTCAGAGGACAACATCAGGTGTTGGGCCTCATCTTCCATCTTCTCTGGGACAAGGTTTTTTATTACTCACCACTGTATACATCAGGCTGGCTGGTCCTCATGCTTCCGAGGATTCTCCTGTATGCCACCCATCTAGCCCCCGAAGCATTGGGATTGTGGACCCACACTCTTGTGTCCAGCTTTCCGTGGATCCTTGAGATGTGGACTCAGGTCCTCACTCTTGGGCAGCAAGCAGTCCATTGCTTCCCTACTCCCCTGCCGCCGCCGCTGTCGTTGTTTTGAGTGTGGGTCTTGCGCTGCACCTCAGGCTGATCTTGAACTCTCAATCCTCCTGCCTTATCTGAGTGCTGGGATTACAGGCATGCTCTACCAGACTTGACCCTTTGTTTTTAACTTACATCCTGTTAGCTTCAAAATAGATTTGGTGCTGAGATCAAATGATTAATGATTAAAAAAAATCTTTAAGTACTTAGAGACTTTCAATGCAATTGTTTTGCATATTAAAGTTTCATACTCTCAGCTATCAACTGAAAAGTTGAATACTTCATATTGTTTCTCAAAAAAACACCCCCAAATTCTCCTGCTTCTAGACTCTACTAAACATCTCCTTGGAATTTCCCAAGTACAGCCTGTCATCTAGTACCTCCCAGCCATGGCTCAGAGAGTTTCTTGGGACATTCTTCCTCTCCGGACTGTGGCCTGAAAACCCCCACTCATTCTTCATATTCAATATCATTTCCTCCCTAGGCTAACAGACAATCCACCCATTCATTCCACAACCACTGATTGAGCACACACATCATGAACCTCCTGGTTGTGCACAGCAAGTGACTCAAAGAAGTAGCAGTTTGTTGGAGAAATGAATTTAAGGCAATGGTTACAGTGGAACATGGTGAATATTTGGAGGAGACTTGGGTAAGCGATTCCACTGAGCCAGGAGTACAAAGATAAGGATATCTCAGTGAATATGGGGTTGTTGTAATTGAGTGAAGAGGGGTTGTAATTTAGTTGAAGATTTTCAGTAATAAAAATGCTATGAGGAAAGGTCCTACCCCAATTCCAAGTACTCCCAGCTCTCCTGGTTCCAGTTGCTGGAATTCCGCCATTCTTTATAGAATTACTTCCTTTCTAGTAACAAGTGTGGTGTAGCTTCTACTGTACCAATCACCAGCTGCACAGTTGGCTTCTAGACCTGGCTTTCAGCAACCCGAGCAGCAGATGCATACAGAACAAGTTTCTGGCAGTATAGGGCTCCAATGCTTTTCCTGTCTGCAATGCTTATCTTTACTTATGGACTATAGACCAATGTTATTCAAAATATAATCGTTGCTGGCCCACAAATTGTTTGCTTATTATTCTATAATGGGATTTATACAAAACTAGTGAACAAGTACTTAAGAACTAGTGAATAAGTACTTAGTGTAGTCTTGCATGATGATGTATACCTGTGGATATATTTAAAAACAGGGCTAGGAACAGCGCATTTGGTGGAGTTCTTGCCTAGCACGTACAAAGTCTCAAGTTCTCTCCCCAGTAAAACATAAGCCAGGCTTAGTGGCACTCACTGGTACTCAGGAGAGGGGGAAAGGAAAATCAGAACTTCCGTGTCATCCTCAGCTACATAGTGAGTTCAAGGCCAGCTTGGTGTACATGAAACACTGTGCAAAACAAACCTATGTGACATTGTTAGTATCTTTGTATTTGCATTTTCTTATTAATTTCTTATCTTTGTTGTTTTACAGAAGTATTATTCTGTGACATTGGAAATGTTTGAGAAATGCTGGTAGACCTGAACATTCTCTGTTGCCCTGTTTCCTTGTGTGCCACACTCCCCCTCCCATCCTGTGTCAAGTCCCAAAGAAACCAAGGATAAAACCTACTTGGTATCTATGGCTCCTCCCAGCACCTCTCACCCCAACCTCCACCCTGAACCTCTCTAGCCCAGGGCCTGGGCTTCGCTGCCCCTGCCCCAGTTTCTGATTCCTATATAACCTCAGGCATTTTGGCCTCGTACTCTCTTGGTTCTCTCTCTTGACCTCCAGTCTCTCTTGGCCTCTTTGCCCTCTGCTCTTGGTCTCTCGGTTCCCATGCACTCTCTTGGTCCTCTCTCTTCTCCTCTCTCACTCTCAGCCTCGTCTCTCCTCTCTTGACCCAGTCTATTTTGCTGGCCATGTTCTTTCCCTCAGTCACACCTAGGAGCAGTCGTGTTCTCGTTCTCATTCACCATGCTCTTGCCTCTGGCTTCCCACTTACATGTCTGCTTTCCCTGGGGAATTTCTTTGACTTGCAGATATGAGATGGTGAGGATGAAGCCCTTTTGAGTGGGTCCATGGCTCTGTGTGAGTCCCCAATATGGCTATGCCTCTGTGCTGCCCTACCAACAATAGTAAGCTTTCCCCTGAGCTCTGGGAGCCATTCTAGCAAGTTATTCCACCTAAGGAGAGGTAAGAGGAAGTCCTGGTAGGGGGCTGGTCTCCAGCAGCTCAGGAGGCTCAGCCATGCTCTTGGGATCCAAAGGGAAGGCAGTGTATGTCACTGCTCTCTATCTGTGGTGTCTTCACTAACTCTAGACAGGCAGTGCCATACTTCAACTGTACGATACCCAGTTGACTTTGGGACAGCTAGAGAATCGGCTAGTGTGGTAGAAAGCCCCCACCCGTCTGGTGTCAGAGTGTAGTGAGTACTGAGGAGAAAGCAGTTTGGCTTCCCACACAGACCCAAGTCTCCTCAAAAGTCCTTGACTGAATCCCAGTCTCAGGCGGTCGCATAGTGCGTCATTGATCTTCTGCGTTGCTTCCTGTTCACAGACCCTTGCCTTATAGTAGGTGAGCTGTGGCTTGTCAAACAAATCCTCAGATGTGCACTCTACACCCGCCTCTGTCAGCAGCCCGGTTAACCAGTGGCATCTGGTCACCTCCCTACCCGGCTTACCTTCGCTTGTGTCAGATTGCTGTGTCCCTCCCACATCCCGGGATCTTCGCTTCATCTTCAAACCTCACCTGTTCCACTCAGTTGAGATTGGACTGATTTCAACCTCACTTTTGTCTCGGGCAGTGTTTCACTATGTAGCCCAGGCTGGCCCCAAAGTTGCCACCTTTTTGCCTTGAGCTGAATGATTGCTGGGACTATAGACATACGGCACATGCTTGGCCTTTCACCCTTTAAATGTGTTTTTCCCCGTGGACTGCAACTTCATGTCAGCATCACATCTGGACTGTTTTCAATGCAGGCTCAACTGCACTCTCTATTCCAAGCAGATTTACCACGTGTTCCTAGGAATTTGTCATGCCAAAATTGACTTCAAGACTTAATATATACCTCAGAGTGTAGCTTCATCCGACTGTCACGGACAAAGTGGAAAGCAGCCAGGGTGTGAAGGGGGTGAGCTTTCTGAAGGAGGAACTTGACTTGGAGGCAGGTGGGTACTAAGGCTGAGTAGCAGTCCTGTAGTCACTTGTCCATCCCACCATTCTTACAGTGTATCCCTTAATGCCCCCCCCCCAAGTCCAGAGGTGAACTGCTTCGGCTGTGATAAACCACAGAATACGGTCTGTGAGCAAGGTAAAGAAGACCGCGGTCTCAAGGCAGGAGAAGGATGTGGTGCTGGTTCTAAGCCTGGGAATGCCGAGACGGAGCAGCTCTGCGGAGGGGCAGACCAGTCCAAGAGCAGTCAGGGCCTTTCACCTTTAGATATGTGAAGGACCCCATCTGAAAGTGCTGAGTCTAAATCACCAAGCACATACGGAAGGGCCCTGAGGGTGAGGTCTGAGTGGCATCGTGATCCGAACATGTCTCAGTGCTGAGGGTCCTTGTGATCTTGATGCATGGAGAAGTACCATGATGGTGGTAACTCAGCAGTCCCCGAGGACCAGGGTGTCACTAAAGGTCTGCAATCTGAAGACAGAGCCACTGACAGAGCAGTCACGACAGAGTTAAGCTCGGTTAACTCACATTCTGTTTACCCGGCTCAGTAATGAGCCCTTCCAAGGCAGAGTTCTGGAGCTGAATATTGCTTCAGTGTGGCTGATTGAAATCTGGAGTTCTGCCATAAAAAGGCATTTTCCACAGTCACCATGCAGGCCAAATGAATTCCATTTTTAAAAGAGCCAACAAGTTATGTTTCTTTTAATCCGTCATCACCACAGCAAACCAAATAAAGGCAGTCATTAAAACCCAACTAGCCTGGAAGCCGAAAACACCTCCTTGGTGCTTGCTTTGCCCACAGGTCCCTGGGCTAGCTTCGGCTACAGTTTCTATTTTCTCCCCTTAGTCCTAGTGGAAAGCGCTGTAGTCGACTCCTGTCCGGTCTTTCCTAACCCACTGTGTAGTGCTGTGCCAGGGCAGAGGTACGAGAACAACAGAAGGAACTTCCCCCAAGCTCTCTCGTCAGCTGGTGACCCATGGGTTCGCTGTACAGAGTCTGCCCATCACAGTCGCTCGGGAAGCTCCAGCAGTCTCTGGCCCTGGGGACTGTCTGAGCTGCGGTCCTTGGGTCACCTGAGGCATCTGCATTAGCAAGTCAGTCCGTCCCTCAGTTCAAAGCTGTGGAGGGACAGGTTGTTTGTTTGTTTATTTTGCTTTGCATACAGGGTCTCGCTATGCTGCCCAGGCTGGCTTTGAACTTGTGATCCTCGGTTTCAGCCTCCTCAGTTTTCAGATTACAGGTAACAGACACACCCAGAAATATAATTTTTTAAAAGAAAAATGGTGATGATAAACCCAAAATGTAAGCTAATGTGTAACACCTCCAACCTCAGTGTCCCCGTGTGTCACCTCCAACCTCAGTGTCCTCCATGTGTCACCTCCAACCTCAGTGTCCTCCGTGTGTCACCTCCAACCTC